TTGAGCTCTCGGCAATATGGACTTAGGCGCACAAGGAAGATGGAAAATGGAAAGTTTCTCCAACTTAACTCTCTTATGCACGGCCGAAAGGAAGAGGAGAAATTACATGGTGAAAGACCATGAACACTTGGCAACTATGCACACCTCTCTTGGCCTCACCAAGTCACGGGAATTGCTACATGGAGGAGAAGGCTAGTGGACAAAATCCCACTTATTCCACATGAAAAACCGCACGACATTTAAGGAAAACAAAGAAGGAAATGCTTGAACAAACACTAGCATGTGCACGGTATTAGAGGACAAAGGGGGGGGGGAAGGAATCTCTTGGCCATTGCACTAACAACATGCACGCACGGCTATTGAGGGCAAGTTGTAAGGAAACTTGACCACAATAAAAATCACTAACATGCTACACAACAAAAAGAAAGAGGACGCACGACAAATAGCATGCTAATGAGGATTAATTACCATTAATCACAAATTAAGGCTTAATCAAATAATTAAGCATAACACTTAATTACCAAAATTATCCCGGACGTAAACGGTACGTCGAAAATAGTTCCCGGTAATTTCGACTGAAATAACTGAAATTAATTAATTCCGAGGAATAATGTCGGAACTAAAATATAATTTATACTGATAAATTGTCGGGATATTACAATAGGTCTTTTCTAAACTTTCTGATGAGGAAAGGTTCATGCTGATATGATGTTTGTGGCTTGACTTATGTCAAATTGATTGAAGTTATGCATGAGACGGTTTTGTAAACTTTTGACAGAAACTGATTCTAAATGTTAACTGCTTTTATACTATCTCAATGACCTTTTCTGCTTCTGTGTTCTAAATAAACGTAGTAGGGCTGCCTCTAAGCTTTCTAAACAAGCAAGAATCGTCTCATTATGTTATGTGTAGTTTAAATTATGTCCATTTTACTAAAGTTATGCACCAACATGTTTAGATTTCTCGGACTGCAGCTAGGTTCATAATGTTAGTCAGTTTATGACCTGCTAAATGTCATTATTTGCTTATGAGGCCTTCATAAAAATTGTAGCCTTATTCCTTGGCTATCTCTTGGTTTTTGATTCGTGTTATTTGGAGGTCTGTAGCATGATTTTGATGATAAATACTGAGGTGCTGTTTATATCCTAAGTTAGTATTTGGCAGATTTTATGTATCACATGTTTTGTGTTTAAACTCGTTGATAATGTCATTCTTTGCCAATGTTATCTTCAGAAAAATTGTAAATATTTGAATTATGTACCATGTGGTTTTTGAGTCTCATTAAAATCATGTCAGTAGCTCAGTTATCTAGCAATTACCGATGTCCGGTCAGTTGCATATTCTCAATTTTTGACTGCTTCTTTGTATGAATGGTTGCTAAATTATCTTCTAGTAAATGACCTTATTTGTTTTTTTTTTTGTCTTCATAAGAACTGTAGAGGCATGTCTTAGGGTTCAAATTCAACTTGAATCATGTTCATATGAATTATGTGCTAATAGTTATGTTGATTTTAAAAACGCTGCTCTTGTTAAGTTTTGAAAAATTTATGTGGTGTTTTCGAAAATGGGATTTCCTTGTTAAATGCATGCTTATATGCTTATATGAACTAAAAAATTGTGATGGTTAGTTGTTCATGTGTTGAATTGTCATTTATAGGGTTATTTTATTTAAATGTAGTTGCTTGACGAGTCGAGCTCGCCGCCTACACGTATTGTTGTGCTATCTCTTGCTTTTGACCAGGTGGGTTCGTTATTCTGAAATTACCTATGCATACGTGTTTAAGTGTTTGGTTCGTATGATCAATGTATGCATGTTCACCATGTGGCCTATCGATGTTAGCTGTTACGGTCGTCGGTACGGGTTGTCCCCGTCGATGTAATACGGTTGCCATTGCGAGGCAAGTCTCCTTATGTCCTAATGAAAGGCCGTGTCCGTTACGTGAGACGCAGTCCTATCGTTAGGGTTTATGCATCCCCTTTCCGCGGCTAATGATAGATGTGCACATGAGTGAGATTATTGGCGTGTTATTGATAGGAGATAAGACATTATGATGATTGATTTATGTTCATGCTGCGACCATACCATCTTAATTTTTTATATTATCTATGTGCATAGTGGTGAGCACTACGGTTTCATTTGTGCTCACTCCCACCTGCTCTTTACGGATGCAGGTTAAGCAGGTGTCAGATGACGAAGTCAAGACGAGTGGGTGGTCATCTAGTTATTGCTTTTGCTTCCCCTTTCTATGAACTCATGTTTGAGATTATTGAGACATGTTGAACTATTTTTCAAACCTATGTTTTGAATTGTGGTGTTAGGGATATTTTGGTGGATCCGTGATGTTTTGGATATTCATGAGTACTGGTTAAATTGAATATCATATAATTTTTTATTATTCATGTTGTTATGTGTGAGTTGAATATCATGTGGTATGTTGTGATTCGGGTTAATGAAAACCTTTTTAAAATCGGGTAATGAATCCCCGTGGGTCCAGATAAGACTTGGACTCTGTTAATGTTCTGAATAATGCCCATGTTTTTGAAAATGAGTTCGAAAAATGTTTTATTGATTTTTGGAAAGTCCATAATTTCTTTAAAATTAAAGTGGGGCATTACAATTTGGTATCAGAGCCAGTCTGCGTGTCTGTAGACTGCTCTATGTGTGAACTACATATTTATATGATTATGTGAATTTTGACCTTGTGTTTGACCACTCATCTTCGTCATGCCGCACTGCTTAAGGTATGTTTATATAAGTATCAATGAAAATACTTATAATGTGAATTGTGTATTTTTGGATGAGTAACAATGAAACTACTTATGATGTTTTGCATGAGTAACAATGAGACTACTTGTGATGTGAAACGCTATTATATATTTTTTTGGGGCTTAGGAAATCTATCCACCTTTGGTTTAATGTGAACTTTAATGTTTAATGTTGAACTTTAGTGAGATAGAGTTAAGTTCGAACTGTAGACGTTCCTCGTTGTGAGTCTTTAGTATGTTGTTATTGAGTTAAGCCCTGCCCATAGCATTTTCTCGCTATATGATTCTATTCAGTGTCTTCGAGTGAGGACAATTAGAAATCCATCTTGAAAGAGAAGGCTTAAGTGAAGAGAGCAGACGACTGAAGAAGTCCTAGGTGTGTGGAGTTCCGGACGTCTTTAACCATAATTGATCGGACCCAGTCAATGAGAATCGAGAGGAAGGTCCAAGTAGCCGAGGCCCGTTTTGTTGCATTTTATTTCCCCGACTAGAAATGAACTTCGTAAATCCCTTTTTCTTAATTTGTGAACTTTAGATTCATGTTTGTGGGGGAAACCTTGTGTTGATTACCTGAGTTTGTGTTCGGCCATAAAGCCTTTTTGTGTTTAGTGTTTGAAGTTCAGAAAGCATGAGTATTATTTCATGTGCGTTTGATCAAATTGATATGTGATTAATATGTTGAACACTATGAGGTTATTATGCTGACCTTGGAGTGTTTTCAGATGCCTTTATGTCAGTATGAATAGGTCCAAGCATGTCTTATATGATGGGGGTATAGTTGAATGAATATGAGAAAGTTTTGTAGGGTTTTACGTGCATCATATGATCTCAGTTTGTTATATTAATGAAGCTCTGTTATATGTAAGTTTATCATGCTTACAATGAAATATTATATGTTGATATTCATGTTTCTATGTAATAGAAATCATGTTTAGAGGATTGGCTTAGGTTGCTTATATTTGTTTTAATTTGATTAAACTTCGATGTGTTTAGCATGCAAAATCATTGTTTTCGTGCCTCTGTTTCATGCTCTGGTTTATCTTTCATGAACCCGTTTCTTGTAGTTGAGTTCTTCTAATGAAATAAAGTATATTCTATTATTTTTGAGTGGTTTTTGAATCATGTTTTTATCATGACCATAGTTCAAGATATGCATGAGTTAGTGAGTCCCTCTATAAGTTGTTTTCCATTTTCATGCAGCATCTTAGTTTTGCGAGTTAGCTTCCACTTCACCATCTAAATGAACTTGTATGCTTTTGTGATCTAAATGATATCTGTAGCCGTATGCTTTAGTATTCATATTCTTCTAGAATTATGCTTATATGACTTATGTGTTGAGAGTTATACCTCATTATAGAAGGTTGTACTGTGCCATTTCGATGAACTTGTGCCATGTTTTCAAAAATAATTGTTACCTTGAATATGCATGCATATGTGACCTTTGTGACTTACGGGGGGCTTTAATATGATTGGTGTTACAATGCTGACTAGAAGCACTTATGAGAGAAGCTTTACGCTATGATCTCGAAGTGTGGAAGCCATAGTTAGTATATGTGGATTGAACTCGTTTAGGACTGCCAACACGATTAGGTACTGGAGTAAAAGTTGTTGTCACGGCCGAAATTATTAGTCGGAAGATTCAAGCGAGCAAACCATTCTATTGTTCGGCGATGATCGCCGAGTTAGGATTTTTTCAGGCAGTGATGCCAATGTTTGATTTTTTTGGGAAATTGTAGTTGTTAAGCCCAAACTGTTGTAGCTTGGGAAGCCTTATAGGGAAACCTTTTTCCTATCTGACTATCTAAGAAATTATGAAACTGGAAATTGAACTTTCTGGTATGTACCTTGAACCAAACGCCGACCCTGGCTGGGTGTAGCACGCGAAGTGGTGGTCGGGCACGCATGCTTGTACAGAGAGACGTGAGGCCAACTGCAGGGTCAGCCGTTGACTCGCAGGAGTGTTGCTGCCGCCATCACCAAACGCACGGACTCCCCAGGCTAGTGTGCACGACCAAACTGCAACCTTATAGCTGGTATTCGAGTGGGTACACACACACGTCCCAGTGCCTCGCATATGCAGCGCCAGCGTGTGTGCACCCCTCAGGTGACAGTGCATGAAACCCCGGACCGACCTTGTCCCCTTGGGCCATTGAATCAGTATTTTAGGTTAAATAGTATGTGGATTTTTTGAATCGTGTATAAATCCTTTGATCAACAACCCTCGATGTGCAAGGTTTGTCGATTAGTTTCCTTTGCCACATGCGAGATTTTCTCGAGATGGCGAGATAGTAGTTTCGCATTGATATGGAACAGAATCTTATGTCTCGATTGGTTACTATGGGTACTTCACAGAGATCGAGACCTACGAAGATTGACAGAGCATTGGATTTAGATGGTTAGTAGGGGAATGTCGAGCATCCCTATTTATGTGATTGACTTACGATAGGAGATCATTTCAGTAAATCTAGTTATTACTTCCTAAACCGCATATGAGATGTTACTCATGTCGGCGAGAAGTGAGGCTTGGCCATCGATATCAAACCGAACCGTGTGTTTTGAAGGTACCAGTATTGAGGATAAGTGATGTTGATGATTGTTAGTCCTATTATGATTTGTGGACCAAGTCGATGACATATCCTGATGGTTGACTCCGCCACCGGAGCTTGCGAGGATGCATGATACGTTCTATGACTCATGATGGAGAGAATGTGTATGTGATCTCGAGGTACGTGTTATTGTGATGAGTTGCGTGATATGTAGAACCCTATCTGTATGGAGGTACCGATCACCTGTTGGAAATAATGGTCCATCAGTGAAAGACCGGGAGGTGTACTCGTCAAAGTCTAGTAGGGGTAGTCAAGTCGAGGGCGAGACGGCTTGGAAGAGAGAGACCGAGATTCAGAGGGAGTGCTTAATTTCATGTTTTCATATCCCCTTTGTATTCTAGTACTTTCTAGTTGTTTTGTTCTTGAATTCTGAGGACATATTTCCTTTTAAGGTGGGTAGACTGTAGTGCCCCGTTCGTTTATGATATTTTTCGGATACTATTTTGTTGGCATTACTATTTTATTATTCGGTTTAAATGCCTACTTGTTAATATTACTTGATTAATATTTATATATTATTGCATAATAATATTGTTCGATTAATTTATATATATAAATGTGATATATATATATATATATATATATATATATATATTGTGTATTATTTATTTAAGTTACATGGCTACTTTATTTAATTTTTGACTGTCGTTCGTATTAACCTAGAGGATTCTAGTCCAAGTGCCAAGCCCGAAAACCATGAGACTGAACCCGTGTGCCGCAGCCTGCCCTTTTCTTGTGTTTCTTGATTGGCAAGTTTGAAATTTTGAGCTCTGAAATTTTGAGTAAAAGAGGAGAGGGAGAGAGTGATGGGAGAGAGATTAAGTGAGGGAGAGAAAGAGAGTAGTCTTTCCTTTTTAATAGTAATTATCACATAACTCCCCTCCCTTAAATTTGGTCAAAGAGAGGGAAATAAGAGATTGAGTCTGAACAAAGGGGATAGCCTTTAATTCAAAATTTGATTTCAAACTTCAAAAACACATGCATGCATGCGTGAGGGGGTGGGTTGGGTGGATAGCTCATGCGGTCGCGACTGCGAGCTTTGCGCGGGTGCGGTTGAGGCCCGGGTGAGCATTTGACATAAAATTCGCGACTAGCACATGCTTGATTCTAACGATAATATAACTTAATAATTTGGCTTGATTATAAAAATTAACTATTAGAACAATTAGACAATTACGAGCATAAAATCAAATTAAAATAAAACCGAGCACGAAATAAATAAATCCAGACAAATAAAAATAGATACTAATTCCAAATAAATTCGGAACAAATGGGGCGCTACAATACTGCCCACCTTAAAAGGATTTCCGACCTCGGAATTTGAAAGAAAAGAAAAAAATCTAAAATACAAAAGAGTACATAAAGGAGATCAAAAAGTGAAGTTCGGATATCTCATCCTAATATCGGCCTCGGTCTCCCAAGTCGCCTCGGTCTCGTTGTGTCAGCTCCATAGCACCTTCACCAAACTCACTGATAGGTTCCTCAGCTAATGGACCTTCCGGTCCAATACGACAACCGACACCTCCTCATAGGTGAGGTCTCT